GAAAAATTGAAATGGTGGTTAGGAGGTCGTCTACTTCAACTTACCTTAGGTCCAGCTTACCATTCTGGAGTTACATTAGTATAGTCCGCGGCGCGAAGAGCCGCGCAAATCTTCAATTTACATGCGGAACAACTTACTCCCGGCGGCCGTGGGAAGCAATTTCGACTACATTTTTTTCCCTTTACACTTCTAAAAATTTCCTCCTCTGTCTATTCTATTTTCCCACTCCCAAAACTCTATAACCACCGTTTTTGCAGGACAAAATGCCGGAAATAGGGGTATATGAGTGGGCCTACATAAGCTACTTTTGTCAATAATACATCTGCAGCACATTAAGGCTATTTTAGTGCGTTAAAAGTTGTGGTTTTTGGGCTTTCTGGACAGAGGAAAAATTCGCATGTCGAAGCATTGTGTCCATACCCATCAATAGTCGTCGTGTTCTTGTCTTGTCCTGTCATTTTATCATAAGTGGCGTGGGAGGAGGCTATAAGCTAGATAGCGCACACTTTCCTCCCCATTAATATTCGAGTTACAGCTCAGACCATCACTACTTCCATGGAAGGTTACTTATCCAAATTATCTTCGACAGTAATCGTGCTTTATTCCGCTGAGTGCACGTTTTTCTGGTCATATTCCCACTCTTGCATACTCTTTTTATTAAGATCGTGGATTTGCGTCATCGAGCGTATTCCTGTCCGTGGTTATTCTCCTGGAAACGGGCCAACATTTGGCAATGAAACAGCTGGCCTCGCTTCGCCCCGTCGAATCGAAGGGTACGTAATCGACCTGCATATTCACTTAGTATTCTAAATGTAAACGAAATATCGTATTTAAGTCCTATAAGCCTCATAATGCGTTACCTTCCCAGTGAGCAGAGCGTTAAGTGTGTAAAAATGTCTACAAAATGTTGTACTGCTGTCTACCTTGAAACAGCAACAAGTAATGAAAACAGATGCGTTTCTTGCCTAACGTGTTATGTGAGAAACGCATTTGTTTGTATACCTCGGACTTTTATTGGTGTCAAGAGCATGTCAGGCAGCGCCTTCTTCATAGTACTGAGGTTTGCCCGTATATAAGAACTTCGACGCAGGGTTAACGCCATTTACCATACTGACAGAGAATGTCGTTGGACAAAGTGGTTTTCAGTTTTGTGGGACCGGTCTTTTTAATTGGCCTCATTTGTTCCCATGTCTTTAACTTCTGCTATTCAGCATTATGGTGCAGAAATAATCCAATCGAGTCCAAGTTTCACTTTCACTTGGTTGTGCTGTCTCTTTTTTTGCAGGTACGAAAGCCCGGTATCTGCCACCGACAGGCAGTGCCTTCAGTTACGTTACTTGTCCGCACTTTGCAATGGAAATCGCCTTCTACATCACTGTGCACTTCTATTTAGGCCTCCGATTTGTACCCTTCAGCGCGCTCGCCATGTTTGTTTTGGTTAATCAGTTTTGTGCTGCCCGAAAAAATTACCAGTGGTATGGCGAACATTTTTCAGCCTACACCAAACACCGGACGTCTCTGATCCCCTTTATTTTGTGATCCTTTTTTATATCAGAAATCACGATTTTGCATTTGCGATCTGGTTTCTTCTTTAATTCTGGGACTGTATCCTTGGTATGGACTAAGGGTACGCCTCCACGCTTGTATAAGCCTATGTGATTCAAAACAGGTTATTTGTGATATGCACTGGTCCAATACGGGTGCCAGCGTAGGTCCGGACCGGAGTTACTTACGCATACCATAAAAATGTCACACGTGGGGATGTGGTAGTTCGTCTTGGCGTAGGCTAACGTCGCACCGACCACTTGCTATGTCGTGGCTCAGAAGTCTGCCCGGTAACAAGATAACTTGACCCTCCCAGAACGGAATCAAGCTACAATGGTCCCTTCTTACTGTAGCTTTCATGGTATTCCCACTTATTTGGGATTCGCACCGGCCGCGTCTTGTTTCTGTAAAAAAACTGACCCATCGTGTGTGGTACGGGTCGTGTGCAGTCCGCGCAGAGGGGTTGTTTAGCTTTTTCAGCCGTGGCGTCCGTGCCCACATTCGTCTCGAATTAATCATGCCAATGGACCAAAGCAGATGAGGGAGGGGAGGCTGCGGTATATGCAGGGTAATTCTAATACTGGTATAAACTAATTTATAAGCAAGTCAC